CCTCCTCCAGCTGCTGCTGCTGCTGCTGCTCCTCCTCCTCCTCCACCTTCTTTTTCCTTTTCCAACTCATCCCTCCTTCTCCTCCTTCCCTTCCTTCCTAACAAATTACTCCTTCTCCTCTGCTTCCCGAATGATATATTTCAACAATGGAGCTTTTCATAGATAACTTTTGTTTCCTATGACTTTAAGGCGTTCAGAAACTTCTGTGTTCCCTGAATCTGTCTTGACAGAAATCTCTTCGTATTTCCACAGTCAATGGACTCAAGCATTGCTTTACGCTGGTACAGATGTCCCGCTATCAACAGATCACCGGTATTTTCACATTTCAAGCGCCCTGTGATGTCACAAAGGTGAGACCAACCGAGGATGAAGAAGAGGCAAACCTTGTGGGTGGTTGGTGGGTGCTTTCGTGTGATTTGCTCATTCTTTCCTATCAAGCGTCGTCCTTATCTCCCCTTATCTCCCCTCCTTCTTCCCCATTTACATGAACCTATCGTGTTGCAGTAAGTGCTGTAAAACTTTTACTAAAAATAACTAAATAGTCTTTATTGAAGTTGGTTAAAGTACCCTATACTTTAAAAAAAGTCTAAAACCAAACTGTAATTGACTGAACTGTTTCTACACAGCTAAGCAAAAGTGAACAAACCAAGGATCAATAATTGTATACTTAACAAATGGATCATCTGTCTCATAGCCCAATTAGAAACTGGCTGAGCAAACAGAACCATTTTTGTTGCTCTTCTTATATATCTCCTCTCTTCTGGGTACACGAGTAATCATCTAATATTATGTTGAAAAGTCTAGTCTATATATGAATATTATATTTTTCTCCTTTTTTTATTTCTTCTCTTTATATCTCTAGGGCACTTGGTTAACCCAACTTCGTGAGGCAACAGAAGGCTATGCTAAAGCCGCCAGTCGACAGGGTTCTTTTAAAGAGAATCATGACCCCAAAGCAGAAGAGAAAGAGGAAGCCCCGCGACTACCCCGCCCGGAGCCCAATGAGCTGACCTTCTACCCGGCCTCCACCCGAAGATTGCATAACGGAAGCACCTTACGCACCGTCCCCACCAAGTCACGCTCAATGGACGCCGTCTACATCTGACAGGAGGGGGAGGGGCGGCAATAGCACACCATAAGACTTCTGTCACTTTCCTAATATCTACATATAAAAGAGAGAGAGAGCGCGATAGAGAGAGACAAAGAGACAGGGAGACAAAAACACAGAGAGAGATACAGAGAGAAGGGCGAGAGAGAGAGAGAGAGAGAGAGAGAGAGAGAGAGAGAGAGAGAGAGAGAGAAAGAGAGAGAGAGAGAGAGACCCAGGAGCAGGATTAATTTTACTCATAAAGTTTTCCTGAAATTACCATGTTAAGAATCAATTTTTAGAAAGTGTTGTATGTCACATACAACAAAATTTAATGACCACCATAGTTCTATAGCGCATTTCCATAATGTACAATCTTTAATGGCTTAAAAAGGCATGCAACATTTAAGCAGAAGGACATATAAAACAACATAATTATGTGTATCAGTTTATAGGTAATTCAGAAACAAATGTGTATAGAAAGCAAATAGAATGAGTTCTGAAAAATATTCAACACTTTTCATTTCACTCCAAAAAAAAATGAAAGCAGCCAATGCCACAGAAAGAGCTTGTCTGAAATCTTGGGCACTGGCTTTGTTTCCCAAACTGCACACTCTAGAATGTCCCACAAATGTTCAATACAGTTCATGTCTTAATGAACTACAGACCATGGTACCATGACATCAATTTCATAGTTTGCGTTAATTTTGCAACTTCAGTTTTCGGTTCGTTGTCTTCAAATGGCTCCCATACAAAGACCATCAAAATTACTACCAAATAATGTTCTGGGTGTTTGCTTTGAATCTATATGCTTTTGCTTTGATATAGAGCTTATAAAAATTACATTATTTAACGATTAAAATTACGTTTTATGGAGTGTCATCTTAATTTTGCTCCAAAGTATGTATATATATATATATATATATATATATATATATATCTGAACCGAAAATGTATCACTTATTGGTGGATTTGGAGGCTTCTATCAATTTTCAATTTGACTCACAACGTCAGACTTGACAACCTTTGTGAAAAAACAAACTTGTTGACGACAAGCATTCACATAATGGTCATCTCCTGAACAACAAACTACCCGGTACATCACAATTCAGAGACCTGTCTCACCTGAAATATTGCAGCTTTATTTGCAGGTCTGCTATGTAGGCCTTTAAAGCAGTTAGAGACTGTGTTAAAAGCTTGTAAAAGTGGTTAATCATGAGCAAGCTATGTGACCAAGGTTTTTAACTGGTTAATTATAATGACACAGAATAATCTGTAAAGGGGTGTAATCAGTAGACTTTCCTAGTGCAGGGATCCTGTCGGTAGTTTGCAGTGTAGATCTATCTCTGGGAGAGGGGAAGGGGTTGTGAATGTGTGAGTTTGTTTCTGAAAACGTATGCACAAATAAAGAAAAAGGGTGCGGAGTATATAGACTATAATGGTGGGTTGGAAAGGAGTAGAGAGAATGAAAATGAGAGTCAAACAAATATGCTTGTCCAGGAAGGGAATGTAGTAGAATATCTGTTACTTTACTAGACCACCTATAACGGTGTTGAAGGAATTCATTTTGTTAGCTGACGTTTAAAACTTTTGATTTGAGTAACTTTATTATTTATAAAGATGAACGTATTTCCCCGTATGTTAGTGATGTGGTAGTAACATGAGCTCTTTGTCTTGTTTGCAAAAGATGTGAACAGCTTGATTCCGTCATTGGGAAAATTATTGTAGAGTTTTACGGGACTTGCAACACAATAAATGCAGACAAATATAGGTGTTAAAAGACAGTAATAAACACACAAAGAAGAGGAGGAGAGATCAGGACAATAAGGGGCAAACAACACCAGAGCACATGCCAACCACCCGCTTAGTATCTCTTTCTTTTTGTTAGAACACTATATCCCCTCAGCCTAGGTTCAGTTTCACCGTGACGGGGCAAAGTCAAAGATGCTAGTCTGCTAAATGATCTGAATTGTGTCTATGTGTCCTCTAAGGCTAAAAAAATTACTAACAAAGCCGGCTCACTCCAATGTGCATTACAAAATTCATCATGAAACGTATTTTCTGTAAAGCATTTATTCATTAGCATACATTTATTACATGAAGTGTATCATAATAATCATATCTGGTCGAGTTAAATAATTGTCTCAATATGGATCAATGTGTGTTTGATATTCATCTTCCCCTCTCTCTCGTGTGTGCGTGCATGCGCGCGCGCACGTGTGTGTGAGTGTGTGTGTGTGTGTGTGTGTGTGTGTGTGTGTGTGTGTGAGTGTGTGTGTGAGTGTGTGTTTTGATTTCAACATTGTTGTTGAATGAGTGTTTGCATTTCATTGCTCTGAGCAAGAGTTCCTTGGATATTTTGAACACATTCTAAGTAAGCATGAAATACTAGAACAATCTTCAGTCATACTAGTCTTTTTTCAGGTATGATACGATTTACAAATAGGAAATTTTTCTTAGAAACGCAAACAAAGTCTTTGGTAACGTTAAACGCAAGAAATACTCAGGTACAGCAGCATAGTGTACATTTTTTTTCTCCTTTCAGACATCCCCTTCCACCAGACATATTTCTCTTAATTTGCGATTCGATGATGCAAAAGATGTGTTTCCGAAACCAAAAGATATAATTTTTCCCAATCTGAAGTTTCTTCCTGAATGAAGCAATCTTTATTGGGTTTCAATTACGTTGATGGTGACGTAAAACATTTACAAGACTTCTGGGATGTAGGAGTAAAACGTTACTTTGAAATACGCTTAATGCTCAAAGAAATTCGTGCAGCCTTGAAGTAAATGCAATGATAATTTTCTTATGATTCTTTAAGTTCCTAACATAAAACGAAAACGGTGTGCTCTCGTGGTCTAGAGATTATGGTGTTTGCCTCTCATTCAATAGGTCCCAGGTTCGAAACCTGACAGCGATGTAAAAATTTTCTTCTCTAAAATAAAATTTCTCCTTTCACCTCCTTTCCTGCTCTCTGCTCTCTAACCGTCTGTCGTCTGCTTTTGTCTCCACTTTCTGCCCCCAACCCCACCCTCTCTCCTAGGCTCCTCACAACCCCACCCTCTCTTCTAGGCTCTTGACTCTTTCAGCGGCCTTTCTACTGCTATTCCTTGGCTCTGCATGCTCATCTGACTTTTATACAGTTGCAAACGCCGTAAAACACGAATTACATTTTTTTTTAAAAATAAATAAAGATTAGCCATTACAGATTTCTTGCTAAAACACTACCTTAGAAGTACAGAGTCCTATCTGCCCAGTAGGCCTACCTAATTTTCAGAAATTTGATGTAAAATATTTTGAGTTTCACATGTCAAGCTTTTTCTAATGCAGTTCGTTAAATATGTTGATAACGACTCCAAATCATCATACGATTTTGATAGAGCAGATAGAAAATTTGGTTTCTGACTTCATGGTCTTACTAACTCAGAACGGCCAAAAATGTCAGATAGAACATTGTAATTCTAAGGTGCCATAGTGAAATGTTCACTCCTACATCAAATAAACCTTAGTGATTCCGTAGTTTTCAGTTTTCATTGACTGTCATTGACTGTCATGGATCATGTATGAAAAAAGCTTACGTTGTCGAAATGGACATGAATGCCAAACAGTAAAAGATAATAGAGAATTACATAACAAAGAGGAATGAATGGCATTATGAGTTCTTTATGTAGCTTGAAGCTGTTCTTTCTACTTGGTAGGCTATACATCGGCACAATATTGATCATCATTTAGAGCTGGGAAATATACTCTTCGAAAAAGGGTAGGGAGTACTTATAGGAATTTTATTAAAAGAAAACAAAGTGACGGACGCAAGCTTGGTTTTTTAGGCCAACAGATAAATATTTAATATCCAAAGAAATATGTGATCTCATCAAACATTGTAACAAATAAATTCCAACAACAATACATGCATGCACGTTGTAAATGGGTATCCACCAAAATATAAATGACAAAACTGAAGGTTTCAATACAAGGCTCAGTAACGAGTGTGTCCCCCATTGTCATCATCATTGCCTTTCTCATCCTGGATCAGGATATAGGCTACGAACAAACACTTTCCACCTTTCCCTATCCTGGGCAAATCGCTTTATGTCACTCCATGTCTTCCCACTTTTCTGTGCATCCATTTCCATGACTCTTTTCCAGGTTCCACGTGGTCTTCCTCTTGATCTTTTACCCTGTGGGTTACAATCTAGCACTTTCCTTGTTATTCAGCTGCTTGAGTTCTTGAAAGTGTTTCCAATCCATCGCCAACGCCATCTTCCCACCTCCTCTCTGACTGGGCTCTGTCTCGTTCTTCTTAATACTTCCTCGTTGGTGATCATGTCTGTCCATCTGATCCCCAGTTGCTTCCTCAGACATTTGTTCAATAAAACCTGGATCCTCTTAATGCAAGTCTGGTCCCCCATTGGGCTGATCATCACGGCGACCTAGATCGTCCCATGTTCAACCGGGTATAAATCACGGCTATTTAGGGGCCAAGTAAGACTGTTAATTCCATTTTGATCGATGAAATCGTTGATGACTCGAGCATGGTATGGTCTGGCGTTGTTTTCATGGAAGATTGCGCCAGCATCAAGCAGCTACAGGCTGTACAATCTCATCCCGATTGCGAATGGCATTGAGATTGCTCTGAACGTGGTAGAGAGGGGTCCTATTGCGAATACTTACCTATTCCACCCCATATAATCACAAAACCTACCTCATAGGGGCTGTCTTAAAAACACTGTCCACTACGTCTTCACACTCGAATGTGGCCATCATGCAGCTCCAAATGGGATCTGAATTCGTCGGTGAAGAGGACATGATCCCAGTCTGCTCGTCTCCACCTCTGAGGCTGTGTACTCCACCTCCGGCGTGCTTGTCGATGGTCTTGGGTGAGCCAGTGTCTGCAGACAGGAGTCTAGAATGCAGACCAAATTCGTGCAGGCGATTTGTAACAGTTCGAGGGCTGACATTTGTGCTAGTAGCTTGTCCGAGACGCTGCCGGATGATGCTGGGCTAAGTGTTGTTGCTTGGCTTGCAACAGGCTGCAGTTGGAGTTGGAGGAATGCCCCCCCCCCCTTGCAGTGGTTGACCCAGGGCTCCCTGGCTGAGGGCGTTCGTCAGTACTTCCGGTTTATTGTCTTGGTCTTGGAGTCGGCTGACTA